AGCTATGCGTCGATGCTAAGACAGAGATTTCGCTTTCCTTGGACATGACAACCTATTTTCACAAATATATATGACTCAGCCTGGAGGACAGACGCAAGTAATCGCACGCGCTCAGTCGATCTCTCATACACAGTCTGTTTAGGCTTTTTAAGTGCAAATCTACGGAGCCTCTGTACAAATCAGCATGGTACACATTATGTTATCATTACTAACTTGTTTAATATTCAGTCCACATGCATGAAGTGTAAAACGAGAAGGGCATAACCTTACGAAAAAAGAAGACAGGCAAAAATCGCGGTTGCTGCGGTTCTCGCATTCCTCTGCTGTTAGCTCGTCAATAGTGCGGTATTGCGATATTGCGGTTATCGCGACAGCCCTATTCTGAACTCTATTGGGGTTAGACAAGACGTGTCAGGACCTACTCATTGTCGAAATCATACTCAATGGTAACAGAAACTATTGACTCTCTCTTTTCTAGCACTTCAGACACGGTTGCTCCTTTACCCTTAAAGAAGATTAAGGAAAACAGTCACACCGTGGTATAACGAGCACACTCGCACCCTAAAGAGAGCAGCCCGGACAATGGAGCGCAGCTGGAGGAAAACAAAACTAGAGGTATTTCGTATTGCTTGGCGGGAAAGTACCCTATCCTACAGAAAAGCACTCAAAACTGCTAGATCTGATTACTTTTCGTCTCTTTTAGAAGTAAAACAAACATAACCCCAGGTAGCTATTTATTCAATACAGTAGCTAAATTAACGAAAAATAAAGCATCAACAAGTGTTGACATTTCCCAACAGCACAGCAGTAATGACTTTATGAACTACTTTACTTTCAAGATCGATACTTTTAGAGATAAAATTGTAACCATGCAGCCGTCAGCTACAGTAACGCATCAGTGTGCTATAGATCCCCTGAGGAACAATTCCACTCATTCTCTACTGTAGGAGAAGAATTGTATAAACTTGTTAAATCATCTAAACCAACATGTTAGACCCTATTCCATCTAAGCTCCTAAAAGAGGTGCTTCCAGAAGTCATAGATCCTCTTCTGACTATTATTAATTCGTCATTGTCATTAGGACA